TATAGACTTTATAGACATGACCCTTGTATGTATAGACTTTACAGCCTATCATGAGAGAGACATTAATAAAATAATCCCACAGATGTCAAGTCATAACTGTGACCATGCTTTGGTGCCAGTGACCAGTCAGGAAGGGTCCCCCGTGGAGGCGATATTTGAGTCGAGGTCCAAAGGTTGGAAGTAACTAGGCCAGGGGAAAGCCTATGCAAAGGAGGCCTTTCAGGGAAGGGTGCTAACAAGCAGGCAGCAAAAGAGCTCCCTGCAAAATCTCTTGAAACCTGATGGATCCCCACGAGGGTACCAGAGCTGTAGCTCTTTCCTCATTCGTTGACCATGGAGCATTCCTTAGAGCACTTCTCAGGACATACTTCAGGAAACACTAGTTCATTGTAACCTGGGTAAGTCAAACATACACAGCAAAGAAAACAAGTTAAAGGAAAGTTGGTTTGCAGAAAAGGGATTATTGGCAGTGACCTCTCCAGTGGGCAGCTGTAAAGGAATTTAATTCATTAATTCACCGAAGATGAATTGGCTGTTCCTGCTGTCACGTGTTTCCATTCTTGTTCCCACCTTGTGAGACCAAGCCTAATTCATTGCTAACTTCTATGTCCTTGAAGGCAAGGACCATATCTTTTTGTCTTTGTAGCCCCAGCACCTAGAACTTTATCTGGCACATAGTAGGTGTTTTCTGAATGAATGATCCTTGAGTTGTTTCCAGGGAAATTCATGGGGTGAGGCATAAGCTCGATTTCATAGGGGTGCACAATTGGACTCTAGGTCATACTAACTTCTGGTGCTACATGTTTGCAGCATTAGTCTGCTTACTTAGGAGCTAATGTTTATAATATGATGGGGCTTTTAAAAAACATTCTACCTCTGAAAAAAGATTGCATTCAGTATGAAACTGAATGTAACTCAATTTAGGAGGAAGAAGATGGAACCTCCAGTACTTTTTCTAATAAAAGAAATGTCCTCTTTCGCCACCAGGAGCAGTATACTATTTGACGTTTTATCACAACCGTTTACTTTTATTTCATTTCAATTCTTGATTCCCTTTCTTTGAGTTTTTATCTCCATTGCCTTATAAATTTTCTTTTTAATTTTTCCTTCTAAGAGCTGTAGACCTGTGACAATCATTACAATCACAATTTGATTATTAATGATTTTATTTGCTCTTACATAGAATCAACATTTTCAGTACAATTCATGCTCAAGTGTTTTTAAGTATAGTAATTTTTAACAACAGTTTTTATCAGGTAAAATGGCGTGGAATGTTTAGAATTCTCTTTTCTAAAAGAACTTGAATGCCAAACAACTGTAAAAAGTGTATTTTCTTTTCCTAGGATTTACTTACAAGACATAAATTGCTCAGCGCAGAATTTTTGGAACAACATTATGATAGAGTAAGTACATGAAACACTATTTTAAAATAGCACATTGTAAGTTTTGTTACCAGAAATGAAAGATTTTAATTAGATTTTGTACCAGAGTATTTATTTTGGAAATACAATGTTTTTAATTGATGCTGTAGTCATTTCTCTACTAAAACAAGGTATAGAGCGTTACGTGGTCAGAACAGAATTTTATCTTTTTGACGACACACTGCACTTTGCATCTTTTCTCGCTTTAGAAGAGGAAAATAAAGCACTTTGCTGCTGAATGATAATATACAGTTAAGATAAAAAGAAAATTACCGTCTGACTTCTTATCTTCCCCTTACTTTCCGTTAGTTGCTCACATTCCTGCTGCTTACAAATAGAGAGAAAGGGGCACAGCAGCAGGTAGATGGGCAGAACTCTAGCCTAGAGGACGCAGCAGCCAGTTCTGCCCTTGCTCTGCTGCTGACTCCTTGTGACCAAGACCAAGGCCCGCTGGGGGACTCAGAAGTCTGTCCGTATTTGTAAAATGAAGACATTGGATTAGCCCAGCCTTAAGGCCCCCTCCAGATTGAGCTAGTAGTAGAACCCCCAGAGGTTTGTGAATAGTGCTGGGTGCTCTGATAACCTGGTTGCCCTTGATCATCACAGCAGTAGCGTCATGTGTTCTCTCCCACCATGTGTCAGCTCTGCTCTCCACAATTCCCATGAGCACTTCCTTATGCCGTACTAGTTTAATGTAGGCATTGTCCAAGATCTCATAGGTGCTCCTGGAGAAGTTATGATAGTAACAATCCACTTAAAATTTCTCTCTCTCCCCCAACATTTGGCTTAGGTTTGCATTCTTCCACTAGTTGTTTGAATTTTTAAAATCCTAGGTATTATTAATACTTCATTGTTCACTGTGCCATTGAACTAAATTAGAAGATTCTTGGAGGCAAAACCTATGCTTTCTAATTCTCTTGTGTTCCTTTTCCCGTCTTTCCCTCCCACTCCCAGTAACATCATAACACAGTGCTGAGTACATAGTAATTCCCTCATAAATAGCCTCATCAATGGCTTAAACATAGCTGGTCTTTTTTTTTTTTTCTGCCCGTGTACATTGGGATGTGGGTGTGTTTTTTTTTCCTGTGCATTTGTTGGTTTAAATCGGAAGCACAGTCGTTTTGTTGGTGCCTTTTACAGTAGTTAGAAGCGTGGGCTTTGGCACCAGACTGCGTGGAGTTTGGCTTCGAGTCCCAGCTCCACCGTGTGCTTCTAGCTCTTGGGCAGCAGCCTTCATTCACCCTCTGTGCCTTTAGGATCTTCAGCTCTAAAAGAAGGCTCATAATAGCACCTTCTTACTACTGGGTTGCTGTGAGGATTAGATAAGAATGTGTGTGTCAAATGCAAGACACAGTGCCTGGAGCACAGTAGGCATTTAATAAACATTAGCATTATTATTTCTATTACCACATGGTCTCAAGGGTTTTTTTTTTTAATTAAACATATGAGTATCTTAATTTAAAACCTACCAAAGATAAAAACTAATTTCCCAGAAATTTGCTACCGGCAATGATGTCGCTTTAATTTTGTGATAAAATATTTTCCTGTATGTTATTAATGGGTGACATTGGTTAACAGGATTTTAGCCAATTTATGTGCAGCAGCTGACAAAAATGTGCATGCAGTGCAGTCAGATCCAAGGAGGAGAAGGAAAGTGGGGAGGTGCAGGCAATTTAAACTAAGCCGAGGTGGAGTTACTGGGCAAAGACACATGCTCTAGAATCTGTACACTTGACTCTGAGCTTTCTAATAATTAAAGCATAGAGGGAAACAAAACCAAGGAAAAGCTCACAGTATCTGTAAAGCTTGTTCAAAAGAAACAGCCTTTTCTAGCACTGGGACCTGGAACAAATTTCTTCCATCGACATTCTTAGACGGGAATTGAATTACAGTGTCATGTAGTGGACGCAGTCACCAAGCGTGCCTCTGCAGTAAATAGAATGGCGCTCACGGAGAGCAAATCTTTGAGGGCCCAAACAGTGCCTGACGTCAGCTCTGTCTCTCCTAGTCCTTTATTGCTGGCCCAGGGATAAAATCTAACCAGGCAGTTCTCCTTGAGAATAATTTCTTGCAACCAAGCTTACCCTAAAAATTATGCAGCAGAAAATCTTAACTTGCATTTTCTGTCGAGAACTTGAGGTGTTCCTGTTTCTGCATTATTGATTAAAGGCAGACCCAATTGTTTGATCATTGGCTTGACGATCATTTGAGAGAAGGTAGGGTTAACAGCCATCTCTGAAGAGAAGAGTTTTAGTTGCTTGCATACTAAATAGATGGCCATCCCACCTCTGCCTAGAGATAAGCAACAGAATGAATGCATAGGCAGTTCTGGTTAGCTTTAAACCAAGGGCTGGAAAACATTTTCTCTAAAGGGCCACCCAGATAGTAAATATTTGAGGTTTCATAGCCATGCAGTCTCTGTCAGCTCTCCTGTCTGTTCTACTGCAAAAGCAGCCATAAAGAGTTCATAAACTGAATTTGTTTACCATACACAAGTGAGCATGGCTGCGTTCCAATAAAACTTGTATAAAAACAGACGGTGGGTTGGATTTGGCCCATGAGCTGTAGTTTGCCAACCCCTGCTCTAAACCACAGACGAATGGCTGATGAGAACCCATCATAAAGCAAAGGTAGAAACGGTTTTAGCATGGACAAATTACAAAGCAGGCATCCTCTACCACCCACCACAACCAAGGAAAGGTCTCAGTAAAGCACTGATACCCAGCAGAGTCATACTAGTACTGCAAAACTTTGGAACTTTTAAAACCTGTCTGTAGTTAAAACAAACAGCTAAGTGGCCTTCTCTTCTAACTTTTGGGAAGTGTGGCCCTAGCCCTTGTGTGCCCTTCACTTCTGTTTCCCACCTCCCTGCTTTCCTCTGCTTCTGCTCCTTACCATTCCAGGGACACTGTTCTTGTTAGGGAGCACCATTTTGTAAATCTAGTGGACATTCGTCAGCTCTTAAAATCTGTATCATTTTGCATTTTCCAGGTCTTCGCTCATGCTGTGTTCTTCCCTTTCTATTCCCCAAGAGTATCTCTTCTCCTCCCCATTTCTGAACAAAATCTCTCCCATTAGTCAAGTTTGAGCTCAAGTCCTACCTTCTGTGGGACACCTGCCTATTTAAAAGTGCTGAATTTCTTCTCTCTCCTATTTTTAATTATTTTCTCTTCTTGCTTTGAAAGAACAGGCAACTTTTCTCTTTGTGCTTGTGCTTTGGACTAGTTGAGTTGTAAAAAATAGGAATTTTCTAATCTAACACCAGGAAATGAGAGCTGACTCAACAGTGAGAAAACAGTGGGGGGAACGGGAGTTATGTTGTGTGCATATGGACTTTGGACAGAAGAGGACCAGATTTAAGCTATATGCGCACCTGGCTAGAGCTGGGAGGGGGCCAGGAGCCTTCTTCGTGGAGGTAACCAGTGGGTATCACCTTGAGGTTGGGTGTGAAGCAGACAGGAGGGGCTGAGCTTGGGCAGCGATTGGCCTTTGTGCTGTTAGAAGTTTGTACTCAAGCTTTTTAATGTTATTACTGGTCTTTAAAAAAATAACTCTGATACGTGTTTTCTTGTCTTTTAGTTCTTCAGTGAATATGAGAAGTTACTTCATTCAGAAAATTATGTGACAAAAAGACAGTCACTCAAGGTATGACAAATTATTGAAGTAATTCATTTCTCTCCACCCCTTATTTGAAATGTGTGTTTGGGGAAAGGGAGATATGGTGCTATGGGTTCTAGACCTTTACAGGGAAAATAGACTTGCCCATGGTCAAGATTTTTGTGGAAAGGAGCAGGCTGGGTTCAGCAGTGGTTCCTGCGGGGCAGCTGCCCCTGCTCACCTCCTCATGTGTTAGAGATACCAAAATGGAACATACAGAATTTTGAAGAGGATTTAATCATTTAGTAATGAGCTATTTTAGATTTGGGAGCCTATTGTTAAAACTTAGAATCGTATCACCAAATTGAAGGCGCTGCAGGTGTTTTGTTCCCCAGAATGCTGCCCAGATGGCACAAGCTTGCTGTGTGAGGGGAGAGGGGTGGCCGTGAGCAGTGACACTGTGAACCGTAGACGAGTTTGGCTGCTTTGTATCAAAATAGGATGTGGACAATTCCATTTGAAACTTAAATATTTAAAACTCTAGAACAGGGTTTGGCAAACTACCAAATCCAGCCCACTGTGTATTTTTGTAAATAAAGTTTTATTGGAACACAGATGCATTCTTTTATTTACATATTGTCTGTGGCTGTTTCGGCTGCAACAGCAGATTTGAATCGTTGCCCCAGAGACACTGTATGGCTAGCGAAGGAATGGATATGAAGCAAGTCTTTCATTCCTACAGTTTCTCATGAACACATGGAGAAATTTTGAGGACCAGTGGTACTCTAAAAATGTATTTTAATTTGTACTCCTTTTTGCTGCCACATTGGCATTTATTTATCCCTATATTTATTTTACCAGCAAATTTGTATTCCCTGTACCAAGCTTCAATTTATTTATTTGTTTGTTTGTTTTTGCTTGTTTATTTTTGGCCCCGCTGCATGGCTTATGGGATCTTAGTTCTAAGACCAGGGAATGAACCCTGGCCCTCGGCAGTGAGAGCGTGGAGTCCTAACCACTGGACTGCCAAGTAATTCCCCCAATTTTTTATTTTTATGTCCAAAGAAATTCTTTAAATTACTGGTCATCCTTCTCTAAATAATCACATTGAAATGAGTCATTTTCAGTATTTATTTGGTTTCTGTGACAGAAAATTAACACCCAATAAGTCTATACATACTTAATACTACCTTTTGAGCCTCCGTAAGAGTAAATACTGGGCTTCTTACTTTGAAAGTTGTATATTTTGTGATTCAGATTTGATGTGAAACCTATGTGAGCTTTTGAATTCTTCCTCTAAATTCTTTATAAATCCTAAGTAGAATAGATTTGTTTTCCTGCACATCAGGTTATTTTTGATTTACTATGATGACATGTTATTTATCTAGAGATCAGTTATCTGGAAACTTCAGGTATCTAGAGCGTAGCCAGGAACCCAGAAAGGAATTAATAACAGCAAGTAAACCATGGCAAAGTAGCTCTATCCATGCATTTTCCTTCCCTTAGACCTCACTCCATGTCTCTTATTAGACTCGGGTCCAATGTGCTTTTCATGTATTCATGCTTTTATTTCTCACTATACTCTCATAAGATATAGGTCCATTATCCACTCCCACTGTACAGATGATAAAACTGAGGCACAGAGAAGTTAAATAACATTCTCAAGGTTAGAGAACTCACAGGGAGCAGGGAGTCAGGACTGGAACCCAGGCAGGCTGGTGCCAGGGGCCAGGCTCTCCACTGCTCTGCTTCTGCCTGTGTCCACAAGGACCACAGCTTGGTCCCTGTCCCCAGGCAGGTTATACCACCTGCACACTAGTCCTTGACTAGAAGTTGGCACACTGACAGCATGAAGAGGTGACTGCTGGCTTCAGAAAAAGAGAAATCTAGAACAAGCAGGGACAATTTTAAAATTAAGGGCTGATACGGTATAGTCAACTCCGTAGAACTCAGGAAGCACAGACTTAGCTGAAGGCATGAACTTTTTTTTAGCTTAATTAATGTCATTTTTAGTAATGTTGAGGAGTCACTAAGAAAAGCTTAGAGTATCTTCAGGATACCTTGCTTAAGAAGGAACAGAAAAGTATTTGTTTTTATAAACCTTTCTGAATCAGATAAGATAAAATGATAAGTTTGGTGTGTTTAGGGGTAAGTATGTGGAAAACTTTGTACATGAAACCCTTTGTCCTGTAAAGTTCAGATAAATAAAATAAGAAATAGTAAAATTATTTTTAAATTAAGCTAAGGTATATAGTTATTCAGTAACTTATCGTCTGACCAGTTTCTTTTTACTGAGATAACACAAATGCATATTTAAAGACTAGGTTCTGACAGTCTCAGATTCTGGGCCAAATGTGACTTGAATGTCCTCTTCAGAGAGCAGTGTCAGACTCACCATAGGTTTAAACCCCAGAAGAAGAGGTAGGTGTTCAAGTAACAAATAGGAGGCGCTCGTTAGCTTTTAGGTCATAATTCAGTTCAGTTCATCAGTCTTTTGAGTGCCTACTAATATTCTGTGCTTAATAATGATGATAATTTAATGAATTGTTTTTAAAACTTTGGTTTTACTTCAAATCTTAAATGATAATGGAAGAGTAATTGTTTGTCTTCTCAGCTTCTCGGTGAGCTACTATTAGACAGACACAACTTCACAATTATGACAAAATACATCAGTAAACCTGAGAACCTCAAGTTAATGATGAACCTTCTACGAGACAAAAGCCGTAACATCCAGTTTGAGGCCTTCCACGTTTTTAAGGTAGAGTACTAAAAGCATAAACACTAGTTGTTCATCCCATTTCATTTACAAAATACTGAAGTTTTATTAGGTTCATTTTGGTAATCTCAGTGACACAGCGCAGTTCAGTCAATTTTCATAGTTGTGTGGTACAACATTTAAACAAAAACAGACCCAGAAACAGGGTATATACCATTCGCATTTGGGAACAAGAAAAGTTTATTTGTAGAGGGGTGTCGTTTATCTTTGGCGTAGAAGATTATTAATCATCACGTAAAGGGTAATCCATTTCTTAATGCTTTCCACGGAGCTTTTTGTTCTTAAAATCCATTCTGACCTCCTCTGCCCAGAAATAACTCCTGCTCATTTTATTCTACAGTCAAAGTCTATATTTAATACCAACTGCTGAGTTTCAGAGCATGAGTGAATATGTCAGTCCTTTTTGTGCTAAAACATGTAATTCTCCCCCTTTTTTAAATTGTAAATAAGGTCTTCCAAAGCGAACACCTCTGAATTAATAATCCTGGCTTCACCACAGGCCCCAGGGAAGCATTGGATGTGTATAGCATGTGCTCTGCTAACTGCGGCATACATGTCCCCGTGTCTTGTTCTTTCCCTTTGGCTGATGTTGATTTTTCTCTGTGCAGGTGTTTGTAGCCAATCCTAACAAGACGCAGCCCATCCTAGACATCCTCCTCAAGAACCAGACCAAACTTATAGAGTTCCTCAGCAAGTTCCAGAATGACAGGACCGAGGATGAACAGTTTAACGATGAGAAGACCTATTTAGTTAAACAGATCAGGGATTTGAAGAGACCAGCTCAGCAAGAAGCCTAATTTCCTGTAAACATCTAAAATATTAAATCCAAATTCAGCATTTGCTGTTAGCTATTCAGCATCAGGCACTGTTATCAATTCATGAGGAACATTACTGCTAATCTGCTGTTAAGTGAACGGTTTTCATTTTACCTTGTTTGTTTTTTTTAGTCCAAGTTGGAGAACGTAGCTGCTGCTTTCTTGCACACTAGAGCACACGTGGACTTTTTCTTGATCTTTGTGTCATTTCAGAATTCAAAGACTCCGTTTGCTGTAGAAGTTCTGAACATGGCTAGGTTCATGAAGGCAAATGCATAGATGATAGTGTGTGTTAGGGGAAGAGGGCACTGATATTATCAGAGCAGACCTGCTTGTTTGCATTTATCTTTGTTAAAGATCTGGGTGTGGATTCTTGGTAAGATTATATGCCTTCACTAATGGAAGACTGTGCAGAGCTTTATTTGAAATCATAGGGGAACTATATCCAAGATGTGAGCTTCTTGGGTGGATAAAGTTGACACACGAATAAATTGATACTGAAACTTAGCAGCTTCTCAAAATTGTGAAGCTTCGTAAGGTCATAAGGAAAATGTATATATGCTTTTCACAGCTTTCTAGAATTTTTTGACATTTGATTTTCTTGAGACTTGTAAACCTGGATATGTTGAAGGGTATTTGTTAATTTTACTTTTTGAAGGTATTTTAAAACAGTAGAGCTAGCAACGACACCTCGCATTTCATTTCAACAATGCTTACAGTTTCCTTTTGTATATAATTCTTAGAGTGCTCATTTCTTTTAAATGATTTAATTTGTACAGCAGAGGAATGTTATTGTATTAGTATGTAACTATTACCTAATATTGAGTTTTTGCAAAAAATGAATGCTCATAATATGTAATTGAAATACTTCAGATCACCTGAAAATGCTGATTTAAGTATCACAGCATTAAAAGAAAAAGTAAACCAGTCCTTTGTATTCAGTTATCCAATGGGGTGCCATCAGTAGGCTACAATACAGATCTGGAACTCAGTCAGCTACACTTTCCTGCATAATATTGGCCTTACTCATTTAAAATGAGTCATGAGTTCTCCAGATCCATGAATGATACCGATTATGCTAAATTAACGCCGATTCTTTGTGTGTGTGGGAGACCTCTGTAGAGCACCTTTTCTTTCTTAAAGTAATCCAGTACAATAGTTGTGAAACTGAATAATTAAAACTTTGGCTTCTCTTAGGAAAAGAAGAGTTCCTAGTCATAGGTGTCCTATGGGGAAATTTATTTTTTTTAATGTCCTGTTCCTTAATGCTGCAAATTATCAGTATTTATAAAGTAACTGATTTTGCACCACATTTTTGTTACTGTGACCACGGCAGAACAACGTCTCCTAGAATATATCTATGTAAAGTTATTAGAATGGTATCTGTTCATCTTAGTGATATGAAGATCACAACTAACAACTTACAAATCAGAGTTTGTCAGTTCGAATTCAGCATGGCTGTAGCTGATTAAGAAATTTATATAATTATTCTTTGCTAGCCTCTCTTACTAATTGAATTATTTATCAGCCAGTAAAGTGAGACTCCCAATTGATGTTTCAGCGGCTTTAAGATCTCCTTCTAGGAGCACCAGTTAGGAAAACAGCTCCAGAAAACATAGATATATTTTATTCTGTTTAATTGAAATGGCAGTCTACACTTATAATTGGTTTTCCTGAGGCTGTCTTTACCAAAATCTGTGTAAAATAATTCATGTTTTTCTATCGGAACTAGAGAAAGCAATCCAAGCTCCTTGAAATGAAAATATCCAAGATGTTTAGGAAGGCAGACTTGGCTGCAATGCATCATTCTGGTTCTTGTGGTCCAGTGCTGGGTATCCGGATTCCGTGTGCAAACATTAATTACACCAAGTGGAAGAAAGGTTTCCTTGCCAAGCTGGTTCTTAGAACTTGAAACAACAGCTTCCACTTTGGCAATGCTGTCATAGCACTAGAGCCTTTGTGTGGAAGACAGGGGTGCAGTGTGTCAAAGAAAACACTGATGTATTACTATTGCATTGGAATCTGGGGATAGTTAAGACTTTGGGGTTTTTGTTGTTAAAATGTGAAAACATTCAAAGTTGAAAAGTTGCATTTGAAGTTATGATCATCTAATATATTCATATTACCAAAACTATTATACTGGAAGTGGTTTCTTTTTGTGTTATAAAGGTTTCATTTTACATAAGTCAGTTACTCAATGTGTGATTTTTTTAACCCTTAAAAAAGGTGGAGATGTATACAATTGTTAACAATGCCATGGAAGCATTTCCTTTCTCTTGAGGAAAAGTAAATTTCTTATCAGATTATCTGGCTGGCCCTGTAATTTAAATTAAAATAAAATTTTGGAGAAACAGCATTGTCGGTTTTTTGGTTTTATGATGTCATAGATAAATTCATTTGTGTCACTGTGAACACCACCATCAGGAGACACAGTAGCACAAAGTTTGTCACAAACTGTACCCGGGAACAGTTAATACACAAGCCTCTAAGTCTTTTTTTTCCCCTTCGAGGTTTTATTTTTGTTGTCAAAAATGTGGTTTTCATTTAGGTCATAGCTCCCTGGCCTTTCCTTTCACAGTTAAGTATTATTAAGCCTTATACAAGCGTTGCTTCTTAGACCGTAGCATTTGGGGAGTAGATCCTGTTGCTGGTTCTGTGATTATTAATACGCTAAGATAAAAGTGAGTACTTGGCAGGACTCTTTATAAATTACTTGAGTGAAATTATATTTTCTTTTTTTTGCGGGGGGGGGGGGGTGCTGTGTTGGATCTTAGTTGCTGCCTTGAGGTGCGGGAGCTCAGTAGTGGCCCTGCGTGGGCTTAGCTGCCTAGCAGCACGTGGGAGCACGTGGGACCTTAGTTCCCCCACCAGGGATTGAACCCGAGTCCCCTGCATTGGAAGGTGGATTCTCTACCCTGGGACCACTGGCGAAGTCCCTTGAGTGAAACTATAATGAAGGTTGAAAGAACTATGGAAGGAAGCACAGTGTTAAACGGCACCTGCAAGGAGGTCCGTCCTCCAGGCCACCTGCCAAGACGTGGCACACAACCCTGCCCTCGAGGTTTAGTGTAACCTTTGTCAGCGGATGGGGTCTTCATCCTCCCCGACGTGTTCTTGCCAAAAGCACTCATCTGAAATCTGAATAACAGCGTTTTGCTTGTTATAATCTCTTATAGGTAGTGCAAACCACGTGTCTGTCGCGCTTCTCCAAAGACGACGGGACCAGGCGACGCTGCCGCTCCTGAGGGTGAGCGGGGAGCCGCGCTTCGCGCGGAAGGAGAGTCCACACCGAGGCCTGGATTCGGGCTCTCACGCGAGTTCCGCTTCCTCCTGCAGCCCCCGCCCCGCCCCCCGTCCCCACGCCCGCAGCTGAAGTTACCCGGCTTCTCCCTTCAACTGTGACGGTCAAACAGACCGTGGTGGCGAAGGCGCGAGGAGGGCGGCCGCGCTCACGCGCTTGTTCTGGTAGCGGGAGTCCCCGCGCCCAGCGCGCCCCGCAGAGGCCCCGAGGCGGGGCACCGGCCACTCCTGTGTCCTCCCCACACCTCACGACCCTCCCGCCAGAGAGGTGAAGGCACGAAGGACGAGGTGAGACTCCCCACCACAGTCTCAAGGTGCTCCCTCCCGCCGAGCGGCGACCCCGCTTCCGGCGCCAGCGCGCTCTTCCGGTCCCTCGCAGCCGCCGGGCACTTAGCCCCAGACGGTTAACGCGACCAGAGACTTACACCTTCTCGCGGGCACTGCCGCCTCCCGGAGTTCACGCCTTCCGGGGCGCCGGCTGTTGCTTCGCGGGCCGCGCGGTCCCGCGCTTGCACGAGGCCCCACAGTGACCCTCGGGGGATGGCGCAGCCCGGGTCCCCGCGTGGCCGTCGGGCGGGGGCCGCACACCGGACCTCGGCTCCGGTCCGCGCTGCGGCGATAGGGTGCAGCGCGTGCACGGAAGGCCGGTGTCCGCGCGCTGCCCGGGGACCCTCCCTCGGTCGCCAAGCGTCAAAACTGCTAGCAAAAGGGAAATTCCCAATCCCCTCATGCTCTGCCCGCTTCCAAAAGAGTTTTTTTCTTTTTTTAGTAAAGTATAGTATAACCCTACAAAATGATTGCACAGTTGGGAATCGGGGCCAGAGTTAGGAAATGTCCGGGTCTAAATTAGAATTGAGATGGGGATCAGTGTGGAAGGGACTAGGGTGGAATCAACTCTGGGCCTCCTTCCCGTTTTCCTGCACTCAACGCTTTACCTTTAAAGATCCACTAGGTGGCAGTAGAGCTCTCTTGTTTTCAGCGGCTGCCAAGCCTGGGGCATGGGGCGTCCGGAAAGCAAAGCCAGCCTAACCAATGTGAAGGGACCCAGGGATCCTGTGGCAGGTGGGTGCCGCGGGTCCCGGGCTTCCTGAGTGCCGTTCTGAGCAAAAAGGAAGAAGCAGTCAAGCGAGGCTGTTTAAAAAAAAAAAAAAAGGATAGGGCAGATGTGTGATAAAGATGTGAAGTATGATAAGGATAGTAAAGTGTGAAGGGTAGGATTTACATGATGGGTATATGGTTGTTGTGTTTTTTAAGAAACGTTACTTTTTAGAAGCGTTTTAGTTTTACAGAAAAAAATTGCAAAGATAGTATAGAGAGTTCCCTTATACCCCGCACCTGGTTTCTCTGTTATTATTAACATCTTAAATTAGTATGGGACATTTGTCACAATTAATGAACAAATACTTACGTGTTATTATCAACTAAAGTCCATACTTTATGCAGGTATCCTTCGTTTTCCCCTAATGTCTTTTTTTCTCTGCCGGGACCCCATCCAGGATCGCACATGACATTTAGTCATCATGTCCCCGGGGGCTCCTCTTGACTGTGCAGTCTCAGACTTTCCCTGCTTTTGATGACAGTTTTGAGGAGCACTGGTCAGGCATTTTGTAGAATCTCCCGTAGGTGGGATTTGTCTGATGTTTTCCTCGTGATTCGAATGAGATTATGGGTTTAGGGGAGGAAGACATCCTCATCACAGCATATCAAGGATGCACAGTGTCACCAGGACCTATTCCTGTCGATGCTGACCTTGATCTCCTGGCTGAGCTAGTGTTGTCAGGTTTCTCCAATGCAAAGCTGCTCTTTCATCTTCCCTCTTTCAATTCTGTCCTCTTAGGAAGCAGTCGATATAAGCAGCCCACACTCAAGGGGTGGGGGTTAGGCTCCATCTCCTTAGAAGCAAGTACCTACATATATTTCTTGGAATTTTTCTGCATGGGAGCTCTGACTCTCCTCCCCCGTTATATCGTTTTCCCCTGTAAAATCCTTTCAGTTTTCTGCCTGAAACGTTTTGTGCTTGAAACGTTTCATAATAAAACGAAACAAAATCACTGATCCAAAAAATGGCTGAGGGTAGGGTGTGGTGTTCACCCAGCGTGTGTGGCTGAATGCAAGGTGAAAGGCCACTCCGGTGTTCAGGATGTGAGGGGACAGAGCAGCACATGCAGCATCTTCACCACTGCACGTGTGTGTCCAGCACACGTACCAGGTCCAAACCAGAACTCATGCAGGCCTCCCACCCTCCAGGCTCAGGGCTCTGGTTGCTTAAATCAACAGTCATCCTTGATTCCTTGCCTTGTCTCCCACCATCTCCTCCCATCTAGTCAACAGCAAATCCTGTTGGTTCTGCCTCCAAATGCTTTGGTCTCAAGGTTTCAGGTCAGATGTCCTTGCAACAATTATAACAAGACTTCTAAAATTATAAGAAAGCTTTTTTCCCTTCTTAGGAAACAGACTTAGAAATTTAATTGTATGATGATGCAATACATATCAACTTTATTTTTGTGGTAACTAGTAGGTAAATATTGGGCTGGCCAAAAAGTAAGATGTTACGGAAAACCCAAACGAACATTTTGGCGGCCCAATGTTTGCTAACCATCTCCATCTAAATCTTCCTAAAGCACCCATGTCAACATTCTTTCAAGGTTCTTCAGTAACTGCCAACAGTCCTCATTAATACTGACTGAGTGATTACCAAGCATTTTACAAGGGCTAACTCACTTAATCCTCGTAACACTCAGATGGTTAGGCCCTCTGTTATCCTGATTTTACAGAAGAGGAAACAGAGGGACAGAGAGGTTAAGCCACTCAGCCAAGGCCACACAGCAGTAGGCGGCAGAGCCGGAAGTGGACTCAGCAGGCAGCATCTCTCTTCTTCTTTCTCAGTCTTACACTCTACATCCTCTTCCAAGTGCCTGCCTTCCTCCAAAATTAACAAGAGCAGATAATTGAGGCCCAGTGAGCAGTGGCAAAGTGGGTCTCAGAATCTCACCCACTCTGACCAACTGTTTACATTAAACGCCCAGGAGGAGAGGCCGTTTGTCTGGCACCCTTCTCACAGGTTCCTGGAACCATGAGGCAAGGCTAAGAGCAGCTTCTCAACCTGAAATGAACATGCCACTGGGGGGGGGGGGGGGGGGGGGGGGGGGGGGGGGGTGTGGCCTTGATTAAAAGCTGATTCGCATCCAGTCTGTCTGGGATGAGATCCTACTTTTCTAACAAGCTCCCAGGGTGCTACGGCCCCAGGACCACACCTGGAAGAGCAAGAGAGGGCAGGTGACAGCTGCAGGTGCCAAGAAACAAGTGTGGATTACCCAGCTCCTGGAGTTGGCCGCAGAAACAGCTGCTGGCGAGGCCTGGCAGGGCAAGTGAGTAAGGAGGAGCAGCTCCGGCAAGTGTCCGGGTTTGAGATGGACGGGCGTCTCCAGGATGAGGGCACGCAGGGGACCGGGCGTGGCGGAGATGCCGGGTCTCGGAGAGCTCACTGAGCCGTGGCCACCAGAGAGGTCTGGGGGGCTGGGCTGTGGTGTGGACCAGCCTCGGGGGCCAGAGGACTGAGTCAGGCCTGAACCCAGCTCCCATAGGGAGCTGTGCACGGCCACCCAGAGAAGGCGCGGGGCTGGGCTGGGCGGAAGAGTGATGCAGGGCGCCCGCAGCGTGTTGTGCATCCTTCACTATGGTATCGCGGTTTATTTTTATGCGTCTGCCCTCAGACCAGGAGCTTCTCAGGATCAGGAATGGGGAGCGGCCGGGGGTGGGGGGTAGGGATATCACTCACCTTTATGTCCTCCGCCCTCACTCCAGGCTCAGCCGAGAGGTACAGCCCACCTAGGCGGCCGCAGCTGCACACTTCCAGGGGGCGCCGTTCACAGTCGGATGGTCCCCAGGTTGTCTACTTAATTCGACGCTTCTCCAGCAGGCGGCAGTGAAGCGCCTTTATTTTAGCGCCCGTGAAACACCGTCGGGGCCGCCTCTCGCTGACCCAATGAATGAACAAAACCCCAGTCGTCCGGTAGCTGCGGTCCCCGCCCCTGGGGCCAGGCGCTCAGACTTGCT